TGGCTCCGCCCCCTGCCCGGCCCACTCCGCAGGGGCGGGATCCCCTCTTAAAAGGGCAACTGCTGTGGGACCGCCTCACACCAAGCTGAGCTTTCGGGCTCTTAACAAGTGCAGATGGGTGGTTTAGGAGCCAAAAGATGGGCAAGGTTCATTTTCTTCTGGTTTCTCTCTACATAGTTTCCAATTATTCCACCCAATGACAACCCACGGAAAGAAAGGCATCCCCCCCTTCCATTAGTAGATCTAGAAGTGGGGTCAAGAATGGCACTGGGTACCCACAGCCTCTGGTCGCCGGCGTCAGAGTGCTTGGGATAGGCGAGGGGTGAGGCAAGATGAAGGAATCGGGTCTCAGGGGCAAGAGAGGAAGCTGCGGCGGGTGGGCAGAGATGAATGCTGCATGGCCAGGGATGCGCGGTGGGGAGTGGCTGCGGCCAGAATCCAGGCTGGTGACCCACCCCTCTTGTCCTCTGGGGATCCTTTGCGTTGGGGCTCCCTCCCCCAAACTCAAATTCAAATGGTAGGGGGCGTGTCTGAGCAGGAACAAGCTCCACCCCTCTCTCAGGACCTAACGGGAAAGCGGTGCAGGAAGAAGCAGGTGGGGGCAAGCGTGCACGCAGAACCGAGAACAAACCACGCGGGGCAGCTGGGTTTCGTCACAGTTTTCCAAGGGGGTTCTCTTAGTGTTGCAGCCGCCACAGGCTTTGCAAGGCCTCGGTACACGCCCGGATAAGACTACACAGCTGGATACTGGTCTCCAGGGAGTTGCTGGAACTCAGCTCCACGGAGGCCCAGCCCAGCTTCTGCAGGAGGGCCGTCTGGGTGCAGGCCAGAGCATCTGCATTTGCGGGCACTGCAGCAGGAGGGGCCGGCCCCTGGGCTGCTTTGAGCCCTGCTGCCGCTCCCTCACAGTGTTCAGGACGAGGGACTGGGGGCTGAGGGGCGGACCGGGAGCCCGAGGGGGGCTCTGAGGCAGAAGCCAGCTGGTGCTCCCGAGCTTGGGACAGGGCAGCCTGGGCGTTCAGAGCTAGAAGAGAAGGGGATGGACTGGTCAGTGGCTGGGCCCTCGCCCCGAGCCACCTCCTTTCCACTGACTGTCCGGCTCTTCCTGTCCTTGCGGCAGGTGCTGGTCTCTCTAGAAGGCCCTCTGTCCGCTCTGCGTTTGAGCTCTGACGCTCCAGGGTTAGCACAAAGCAGGTGGTAAGGGCGCCTAACGAATGAACCGACAGGAGCGGGCCCTACCCCCGCGGCGCCCAACTCCAGCCCCTCGGTCACTGCCAGGCCCACGGCCTCCATCACCACTCATCACCATCATGCACACCTGGCCCCTCACCCGGGTTATCTTTATCCACGTCTGAGTCGAGCTCCTGACAAGCCACGCAGTAGACTTTCCGCTGTTTGTCTTGGAGGAGGATCGTCTAGGGGCCAGAAAGCACATGGGGCAGGGGTGAGACGCCGGGCAGTGGGGTCCCCAGAGAGACCCCACGGAAGGACCGTGCGGCCTGGCCCGGGCTCCATCTCCGGCCCACCCGCCCCGGGCCTCGCCTCACCCCGCATTCCGAGCACGTTTCGCCCAGCATGCGGTAACCGCGCAGCAGGTAGTCGCCCATGAGTCGGGAGATACGATCCTGCCGTTCGCGTCGCGCCTGCAGGACCTTCGTCTCTGCCTCAGTCGGAGGCTCCCAAGAGAAATCATCAACTTCTGGGGGAAGAGAGGCACAAGGGGCCGGGGGGTCTTGCCGGAGCGAGCTGCCTCCTGTACCCCGCAGCCACAGGCCCCCGCAGGCCATGTCCTCACCAGCGCCGTTCAGAGCCATGTCGCCGTTGTCTCTGCCCGACTCGCCGGAAATGACGCGCAAAGAGAGCGCCTCCCGCAGCGGGTCCGCGTCCTCCATATTGGGCCAGCGATGAGGGCGGAAGTGCGTTTCGCGTGGGCCTTAGCCGTGGATTTGCCCACAGTGGGGCGTGTCGAACCGCAGGCTCGACCTACCTCCCCCGAGCGCTCCGAGCTGGAGCCCCGCCCCCTCGGGCGGAGGCTTTTGATTGGTTGGATTCAGAAGCCGCGTCTCTATGGCAACTCCGCTCGGTTAGCTGAACCAGGAAGTGGCTTCCCAGACTTTTCCCAGGCTCGCCCTCCTCACCCCGTGCGGGTGGAGCAGCACTTGGCGGGGGAAACCCGCCGACCTCCGCCTCTCTGGAGTTTCCCCTCTCGGATAGGTCGGACCGGACGCAGGCGGGGCATTGACATCACCACAACAAAACAGTCCGAGCCGTCCGGGCGGCTCAGACACCTCGTGACCCGTCGTCCGTCCGTCCGTGCTTACTCAAAGTCAGCAGTTCGAAACCCCAGCCGGTCTGCGGGAGAAAGATGAGCCTTTCTACTCCCATCTCGGAAACCCATCTCCCCTGTTCTATGGGGTCTGCTAGTTGGGGAGCCCCTGAGCCCCCCAAGGCTCTTCGCACACCCGCCATCATGTTAAGAAGAAACCGCACTTTCGACCCGCACGTGGAGCCTCTCCGTTCCCCAGGCTTCTTGCTTCAGCCTCGGCAAGGCAGGCAGGACCCTCGCTTTCTGTTCTCCGCCCCCCCCTTCGGAGCCCTTTTGGTGCTCTATCTGGTCCGCCGCCCTGGCTCCCCTCCCCTCCCCCTGGGAAGGCCAGGGGCTGGTGGACAAGTCTGCTCCTAAGCCGTTAGCGAGTGTAAACTTTCAAAAAGCTTTGAAAAGCACTGTGCTGGGCGAGGAAGTCCCAGGTGCCAGCTGCAGCTGAGTGGTGCCAGCTGGAGGGCTGCAGGGAACACCTGTTGTCTGATTACAGACTGAGTGGCAAATGCCGATCACCAGTGCACCCTGAACAATGTGGTTCTGGCACACTCCAAATCTCCCTCCCCTCTAATCTTCGGTGTTCTTTTTCCGAGTGGCAGCCACTGCCTTAATAGGTTTGAAAAAGCCAGACAGGGGAGCAGGGGTGTCAGGTACTCAGCCTGTGCCCCAAGGCAGTAGGGAAGGAGCTAGGCTAGGCTTTCGATCCCTGTTATCTCATGGACCAACCTCCTTCTTTATCTAGACTGGGGTTTTTTTCAGTCTTACTTGAGGCACCCGCCTCCTGATCCCACATCCCTCCTCTGTAGACCCTTAGAAACTGCCATTCTCTGGCTGGTTGCTACCTCTTGCTTCCTAGGACAGGCCTGTGCCCTACGTCCTCGCTCTCTCCATCTTCCCAGCAGGCTCTTGGGAAGCATTGGCTGGCTCAGGGCCAATATCCTGGTTGGCTGGAGAAGTTCTCCCAGCCTCTAGTCCTTATACGGACACAGCCGCTCCAGTTCCTTGATGTCTACAGCTCCCAGTCCCACCCTCAGCTCCTCAGCGCCGCACGCTGTCACCGTAATGGTCAGTACCCACTCAATGGCATATTCTGCCTGGCATCTACCAAATCCCTATCATGTAATCCTCATCGCTTGATGGGGTGGGGAATAGTTAACCATCTTGTACCGAGTAAATGATTTTAGAAAAAATTGCCGAGTGATTCTCTTAAAACATAAATCCAGCCATGTCACCCTTCTGCTCAAAACCCTCCACCACACTTGGATGAAAATCCAAAGTCCTTTCTATGACCCCCGAGGTCCCTTAGCTACGCTCCTCTCCTCCCGCTCTCCCTGCCCTTCTCTGCCATTGCTCAAAGAGATTCTTATCACCACCGCTTCTCAGGACCCCTCCCTGCTTCATACTCCAGAGGAGGGTGGCCAGCACCAGCTTGGGGTCAGGCAGGCCTGGGTTTAATCCTAGATCTGCTGCTTAGCTGCTGGGTCACTTGAAGTCATTCACTTCTCTCTGGACTTCGATTCCCCACCTGTAAACTAGGTCCAGCGACACCTCCTTGGCAGGGTTGCTGAGAGAGTTCAAGGAGGGAACCTGAGGAGAGGGTTGGTAGGGGACAGTTGGCCATGAAGCTCTCCAGTTTCCGCAGTTGCTGTAAGTACAGACAGTGCCTTCAGTGCCCTGGACCATCTCTCCAAGGATGTCTGTGAAGTCCACAGCTTGGGGCAAGTGAGTCGCTCAAGTGTCTCCCTCTGGGGCAAACTTCAGTTAAACTTCCTCACTGCCCGTTGTCCAAGATTGGGAACCCCTGAGCTCAAGCGCCTCCCCTACAGGCATCCAGTCAGGTCCATCCACACAGGTAAGAGAGAGCGACAAACCCCATGACTCCAGGGTCAGGGAAATGAACAGAGAGACGCTCGCGCGGCTTGCTGTGCTGTGGTTAAGCAAACCCTTGGTCTCTGGCCCAGGGGTCCGTGACTCCTGTCACAGTCTGTGATATGACACCCTTCAGGGTTATTGCTGGTCTGGGCAATGAGGATGGGGTGCTGGCAGATCTATGGCTTCCTGGCAGAGGAAGGATGATGTTCCAGTGAGCTGATTAAAAGCCGAAGGAACATAGGTTGGCACAGACGTTGATCACGTGATAGGGTCCCCTAAGCAAAAAACGGTCTTTGACATGATTTCCTGTTCACGAGGATGAATTGGGTAGTTGCAGGCCCAGTCCCAGGACGTAAATGTGCAGTCAGCTACCAGACCTTGTCCGCTTGCTCGGGAGACGAGCCCCGTTGGTACGGCGGTTAAGTGTTAGGCCACTAACCAAGAGCTCCGGCATTTGAGCCCACCAGCCATCCTGTGGGAGAAAGAGCCGGCTGCTTCCTTAAAGATTGTTGTTGTTGCTGCTGTCGGGACCCTCTGGGGGTGCCCACCCATAGTGACCCCCTGTGCACAGAATGAAACGCCACAGTTGTTCTGTCTGAGCCCATTGTGTCCACCCATCTCCTCCAGGGTCTTCCTTGGGAATCCTGTGGGGCAGTGGTCCTCTAACCTGCAGGATTACCATGCGTCAGACTCCACTCAACAAATGGGTGGGGTGGGGTGGGGTGGGGTTTGGGAGGGTCTTTGTAGGAATGGAATGGGAAGGATTGAGCTCCTCCCAGTGTAGTGCCCACGTTGTAATGAGACTCACTCTGGGGATGGAGACATTCCCAACCGTTCTCAGGATTTACACGCACACAACACGAGATGAAAGCAATACACTACCATTATGGAGAAAAACCAGACACCGTTCTATAGAACACTGGTCACTGGTCCTGTGTCTTAGGAGATGAGAGGGGGAGAAGGTGATGCTGATTAATGAAGAATAGCAACCGCTGGGTCATTTTACAATTCAGCCCTTCTTGTGGTCTGTCATGCCCATTATCTCCAGGCCCAAATGACGGTAAAAAGCCCTGGAGCGGTATGTGTTTGTTTTCTCAGCCGGTCTGGGCTGCTGTAAGGAAAGTTCTGACCATCACAGGTAGACAGACCCGGGTAGGGAACCACAGCTAAGGCATTCACCAGTATTCAGGCTCTGCCTTTGTATTTACGATATTGATCAAGATGACCCACCAGAGAATGAGAAACAAAACCGAGGGAATTCTTGTGATCAGCACCACTGCATGGAAAATGCCCCCACCTCTTCTATTGAGACCAAGCCGAGAACAAGAAAAATAGTTCATGAGGGAGGCGGGGCACAGGGAGGGGGAGGGAAAATGAGGAGCTGATACCAAGAGCTCCAGTAGAAAGAAAATGTTTGGAGAATGATGATGGCAGAAAATGTGCAAATGTACTTGACACCATGGATGGATGGATAGATTGTGATAAGAGTTGTACGACCTCCCAATAAAATTATTTTTAAAAAGAAAAAAATAGAGAGGTTATTGTGATAATGGGACAAAAATACCCTCTATTTAATTGGTCTCCAAAAAAAAAGAGAGTAAAAAAAACAAAAAAGAAATTAAAAAGAAAACAAAAAAAGAGAGAGTATTTAGTTGGTCTCCTTTAAAAGAAAATTCATGGCTCTGCGAGTCAAGTCCAAGTCCTAATAGATGTGTGTGATACTGACTAGGCCAAGGTTCTCCGTGGTTTGGCAGTTAACACCTAGTCATTCCCCAGGATGTGCCCTAACACAATGTAATTAACTCCATAATGTGATCTTCTACGAGCAGCCAATCCACTGTAAGAAGGTGAGAGTGGGGTCTAACACCTTTCCTTAGGGCGCATCTCGGTGCAATTGAAAGGAAGCGCCTTTGGGACCACAGCCTACTTCCAGTCGACAGTGAGTGGCTGCAGTGGGAACGCTTGCTTGCTTTCACTGTGCCTGCATCATCTCTCTGGTTCCTCAACCTCTAGTTCCTTGGATTTGAGCCAACAGCCTGCCATGTTGCCTGCCAATCCTGGACGTCATCAGCAGCATGCCACCTGACCTGCCAATGTTGCATTCATTCCCCTCTGCAGCCACCACTCAGAGGTCTTCCTACTGGACTTGTGTCACCAGCCCCTGCAACTGCCAACAGGAGACACCTCCAGTCTAACATCTGACCCAACATACTTGGAACTTGGACTAGTCTACAGTGAACCCTCGTTTATCGCGGTTAATCGGTTCTAGACCCTACCGTGATAAATGAAATTCCGCGAAGTAGGATTCCTTATATCCAAAAGTTTTACC